AATTGCCTATAGGTAAATACATTACACCAATTGTACATAGTGAGTTTTTTTTTTAGGAAAATCCAAGAGTCATACATAAGTACACATTATTCTTTTCCCAGTGAACTGATCAATGTCGATCAACATCAGTACATTGATCCTTATCTGTCAAGCCCATATTGAACTCCTTACATTCCATACTAGCAGGTAGTCCCGGCCGAGCAGCATCTCTTTCCCAGCCATAGCCTTCTAAAAAGGGCTTGTAGCTGAGCACCTCGTTCAGACCTGGAGGCACGGTGGACCTCAATCTGTATATCCATCGTGCCTCCGTTTGTAACAATTTTTGGTCCACATCCTCACCTCTTATATCCTCATGTATATGATCAAGAGTATAGAATCTCATAACAGATAGATCAAAGTTATGGCATAGACCCACATGCCGACTAATGGGGGAAATTAATTTGCCATTCTTAATTAAATACAGATGGTCATAGATTCTCTTCCAAACTTGTCTGCATGTTTTCCCTATGTAGAAAGCCCCACAGGTACAATCCATCAAGTAGATCACATTTGTAGTTTGACAGTTGGTTGTATGATTTAATCACCACTGCTGGTCGTTCGGTAGGGGAACCATGTTTCCCTCCTCAAACCACCCGCAATAACTGCAATGCCCGCATCTCCTAAACCCCTCCCTGCCACAGGTGAATTTCTGGTTGAGTGGAATGTGGAAGCTGCGGGTGACCCTATCTCGTATGGATCTAGCTCTTTTGAAAACTATTTCGGGGCTCTCTCAGATATACTTCTGTATGATGCTATCCTCAGTTAGGAGATGCCAGTGGCGTTTGATGCAATTCCTAATTGTGGCATGGTGCCTCGAAAACTTAGTAACCATTTTGACCGTTTGTGTGATGCCTTGTTCCCATACCTCGATTTTTTCATCCCCATATAATATATGGACTCGTTCTTTCTTTTGTACCCGGTTGTAGGCTTTTATAAGTACCTTATTATTGTAGCCCCTTTCCAACAGTCGGATTTGCAGGGACCTGGCTTCCCTTTTAAAGTCGATATATATAGAACAGTTTCGTTTTAATCTGAGATATTGGCTGTAGGGGAGATTGTCCTTTTAGGAATCGTGGGTGCGAGCTGGACGCATGCAGTATAGAATTTCCCGCTGTCTCCTTCCGATATAATCTGGTCATAAGATAGCCATCATCAATCGCAATAGAGACATCTAAGAATGTAATTTTATTTTTGGCTGTAATTGGTGGTAAACTTGAGATTGAAATCATTGGTGGCCAGAGAGGCCCCAAACCTTTCCAATTCACATAGAGTACCAGTCCAGATGAAAAAAACGTTGTCAATGTAGCGTCGCCACAATGAGATGTTCTCAAGCCAAGCCTGTATTGATTCGTTTGAAAAGAGACTTCGCTCCCATCCCCCAAGATACATATTGGCATAGGATGGGGCACAACATGTCCCCATCGCCACCCCCTGCACTTGGAGGTAGTGGGGTCTCCTTGAAGATGAAGACATTTCTAGTTAAAATATGGCGCAAGAGGTCAACCACAAAGTTATTGTATGCCCATTGCGTCCCTGGTCTCTCACTCAAAAAGCCCTTAATCACCTTGATACCTTTTTTGTGTGGAATGCTGTTGTAGAGGGACTCAATGTCCAATGCCACTAGCCAACAATCCGCTGAAATTGACATATTCTCCACCAGTTTCAGGAGTTCAAAGGTATCCTTCAGATAAGAAGGGAGACATGTTACATGTGATCTCAAGGGGGAGAAGTTACACCCGGGGGCCAATGTGCTAGCTGCTCACAACTGTATTTAAATTGATTTAAAATAAACAATTAAAATATTCTTACTTTACAGCATTTGTTTTTGCACAGTACTGTGTGTACGTGTTGCTTTTTTGTCGTGGAATTAGACTATCTTAAAGTACTTTTTCAATGTATTAGTTCATTTAATTGTTATTTTTTTTATTGTTTCTCTTTCAGACCAAATGACCTGAACGCCTTGCAACTAATTAGTAGTCGAAATTTAAAGTTGCACTTTAACCTACATAGAGGCCTTCATCACCACATCAATTTGATGTTTGATTACTTTCACCTCTCAGTCATATCTGTTGTAGTTCATGGTTCTTTGGTTGCTTTGCATCAACCACTCATCAGGTAACTTTTTTTTGTAAACCAGAAAAATTGATTTGTTGGGCTGGTTAGCCTGTCATATCCCTGTGTTCTAAGACATGCTGCATGTTGTAGCCCCTGGTTTTGCTTGGACTGGAGCAAATTAATGCTTTTTTTTAAATAGTCATCTTAATGCCTGTGGTCCCACGCTGTGGATTTCCATTGGTACTGCTCACATTTACATCTGTGCGAAATGTATGCAGTAAAAATAAATATATATCCTCTACTAAAGCAAACTGAGGAATTCTATGAACATGTTCAGTGTAACTGCTTATCCTTACAGCAAGATTTTTAGGATCATAACGATTAGATGTCCAGAACTAATGAACTAATCTGGTATGCCTTCCATTACTCCTCTCTTTCACATACTGGACATTGTATATTTGCCTATTCAAAGAGTAACAGAAAAAAATATTCTGTTTCAAAGACAGACGCAATATGATCTGTTTCTAAAGGTTATGAATTGGTCATTGGTTTTGGCCATCTAATAATTATGATCCTAAAAATCTTGCTATGAGGATAGGCAGTTACACTTAACATGTTCATAGAATTCCTCCGTTTGCTTTAGTAGAGGATTCATTTTCCCATGTTGTGAAGTTTTTTTTTTTTAATGAAAAAAAATCACTAAACTCTTATTGTCTCGTTTAGCTTTCACCGTGCAATGAAGAACACCTGGTTAAACAGAAATGCTCCCACCCAGAATAAAGAGTCTGCAATCCCAACCCTGGAAAGTGTAGTGTTTGGCAGTAACTACACAAAGCAGCTGTCTGCAGATGTAAGCCTACTAAAATCATTTTTTTTTTTTTATGGAATGGGGCAAGCTTAGAAAGCTTTTGGCAGGAATTATACTTTAAGGTGATCTAAAGGCACCAGCTTTATGTTAGGTATTCAGAACAAGCATTGTGAAATAAATAAAAAGAATGTATTATGCTCCATCAATGACATTACAAATGCCATGTGACAGCACTCGGGCTTTGGAATTGGCTGCTAGAGGTCACATGCTATCCCATACCAGGAAGCACCAGATATTTTCACTGGCTGAGGCAGCATAAGGACCAGTGGGGGATTGTTGGTAAAGAGTAGTATCAGAGTTTCGGGCGAGGGGAGTTTTCACAAACACTCTTACCTTGGGGTTAAAAATAGGCAGGCGGAATACAAATTAATGGGTACTCCACTAGGGAAGTCAGAAATGGAAATTGATCTGGGGTTCATTGTAGACCACAGATTGAATAATAGCTTGCAAAGCCAGGTTGCTGCAAACAAAGCGAGCAGAGTACTGTCTTGTATTAAAAAGGGAATGTACTGTAGAGACAAATCTATAATTGTGCCGCTTTATAGATCGCTGGTTCGGCCTCATCTGGAGTATGTGGTCCAGTTTTGGTCACCAGTCCACAGAAAGGATGTCCTTGAGCTGGAAAGAGTCCAGAGAAGAGCAACTAAACGAATTAAGGGGCTGGAGGACCAAACGGAGACAAGGCTACTAAATTTAAACATGTTCGCGCTGGAAGTGAGGAGATTAAGGGGGGACATGATTTTGATGTTCAATGGTGATGGCAACATCAGCAATAAACTTTTTACGGTAAACTCCATAACAAAGACTAGAGGCCACCACCTAAAATTGGTGGAGAAAAGATGTAACCACGAAGGGGCGTAGGAGCTTCTTCGTTAGAGCGGTTAGGTTCTGGAACTCGCTGTCACAAGCACTGGTATAAGCTAAGAGTGTGGAATCATTCAAAAAGCATTCGGACAATTTCCTCAGAGACTGCAACATACAGGGGTACAGGTACGCTTAAAAATAAAGATCACACAGGACGATTACATACGCAGAATCACATAAATACACGCAGTAGGTTGAACTTGATGGACCTGTGTCTTTATTCAACCTGAAATACTATGTAACTTTGCCTTAATGGGTAAAGTGACAGCATCTCTTTAAGGATGATTACTCAGTGAGGAAGACAACCCAGAAGATTACACTTCTAAAAACAGGTGTTCAAAGAAACCATGCATATTTCTGTTCTGACAACATCATTAAAATGTCTGCTCTCCTGTGCCTTTTTTTGGTGGGGTGTTTTTGTGTGTTACAAGATACATTTGCTGTAAGTTATCTTTCATGGATAAACATGCAGGATGAGTGCAACCAAATCTGACAAGTACAGCTAGAGAGACTTTGTGAAAACAAACCTCAAGCAATTGTGGAACTCTCTTCTATACAAGTACACCAACATGGGGACCATGCAGTCTCCGCATCTGGGCATCATCAGAAAAAGACTCGTTCTGGTTAAAATGTGAAGTACCATGTATGTGATTCCACTAGACCATGAAGTAGGGTTTGGTAAATTTCAAATGCTTATAAACAGCATCTGTTACCAGGTTTGTATGATTCGCTTGTGCAAGCTAATGATGTTTACCTCTCTTTTCAGGGCAACAGCTTTGTGGTTCAAGAATGTTTCCTACAACATGCCTACAACTTTCATTATACACTGTGTGCCTGTTTGCTGGTATCATTTAAGGGGTTATACAGCTATTTCATGACTGTAACAAAAGAGTTACCTTCCTCCCTCAAACTGGAGTTGGGTAAGTATGGAAACGCTAAGCACATCTATGCTACCTTCTTGAGGTCAACTTTGTATTACTTTCCTTTGCTTCTGGTCTCTTGGATCAGTATCTCTATGTTGTAAACTTAGAACATTTTCCTTTTTCTATACTCCTACTCTGTGAAATGCAAAATCTTATTTAACTGACTGAAGTTACTTACACCAGAGCAAAGTAATTATTGCTATAGGTGTTTTGCATTAAATACCATTACACTGCTCAGTTACTTAGGTGGAATTGACCTTCCAGCCCTCAATGATCAGTATTTATCCTTTCACCACTCCCAGTGCCATATTCACCGTTTATTTTTATTTTTTTAATGTAAGTGCATGTGTAAAGCTATAATTGTTATATGTATATACACCAATCAGCCATAACATTATGCCAAGCCAACACCTCAAACTCCTTGGGTTCCTCAAACCATTATTTAACTATTTCTACAGTGTGGCAGGGCACACTATCCTACTAAAAGAAGCCACTGCCACCAGGGAATACTGTTCCCATGTGGGGGTGTACTTGGGTCAGCAACCATGTTTAGGTAGGTGGTATGTGACATAGTAACATCCGCATTAATGGCAGGACCCAAGTTTTCCCAGAAGAACATTGTCCAAAGCATCACACACTGCTTCTGCTAGCCTGCCTTCTTCCCATAGTGCATCCTGGTGCCATCTCTTCCCTAGGTAAGCGACACACATGCACCCAGCCATCCACATGATGTAAAGGAAAATGTGATTCACCAGCCCAGGCCACCTTCTTTCATTGCTCTGTGGTCCAGTTCTGATGCTCACATGTCCATTGTAGGCACTTTGGGCGGTGGAAATCTGTCAGTATAGGCACCTTGACCGATCTGCGGCTACGTGGCTCCATATACAACACACTGATGCACTGTTTGTTCAGACACCTTTCTATCGGAACCATCATTAACTTTTTCAGTGATTTGAACCTTGGCCGCCCATGACCCTGTTGCCAGTTCACCAATTTTCCTTCCTTGAAGCACTTTTGGTAGGTCCTGACCGCTGCAAACTGGGAACAAAGCCATTCAAATGCTTATGGTTGTCTTTTTTTTCTGCTTCCAACAAATCGACTTTAGGGACAAAATATTCACTTTTTGCCTAATATATCCCACCCACTTCCAGGTGCCATCATAATGAGATAATCCATGTTATTCACTTCACTTGTCAGTGGTCGTAATGTTGTGTCTGATCGGTGTATGTGATATACATGATGTTGTGGTCGTCATTTATATTTCTCATAATGTTGCTTGGATGTTTTTTAGGATAGAGTTGAAAATAACCAGTGGTTTGGGAACATTGGTGCTTATTATTTATACTAATTACTAACAATGTGCTACAGTTGTTAGGCACTTTTTAACTTAAATGTCCAATGTTATTATCAGTAGTGGTTACACATGAGCACTACTGATCCCTTTTTATTACACATCATAGAATGGTAGTATAGTGCAAGGTATAAATTGCATATTTCACAGTGCTTTCTTCTTTTTTTCTGTAGTTACTAGTTTATCAGTATCTTTTTTTTATCCTTCTTTTCCCCTTGCTTCGTTATATGATGTACATTCGTCTTGCTCTAATAACCATAACTTCACAATACTGCATATAAAGAAATAACTGACCTTCATCTGATCAGTTTCATCGTTTTCGCATGTTAACCTGCTAGAAAGTTCTTGCGCTGATTGACCATATAACATCCTGTCTGGTCTGACTGGAGTGCACTAAATCTAAAAGTCTCAATGTACATCATAGAAAATTCTTCTCTGTCTACTAGCTCTAATACCTGTCTGTGCTTTACTTGACTGATCTCCTCTTACTTGCTGTCTGACTTCTCACTAACACAAGTTAAGTCGTAAAGCACAGATATGAAAGAAGTGTAATTAGTACATATGTGTGCCATCCTTACAATCAGCCAAGCCCCGCATGCAGGTCCTTTATGAACGTCTGCTCAGAAGAAAAAATCCGTGGCCTCCGACAGAAGCTGCTTCGGGTATGTTGTTCTAGACAGTGATGTATTATACAATTGTAATCAATCAGATTGTTTATTATGATATGTTTGTTGAGGGGCTAAAAACTTGGAAATTGTTTAGTTGTAACTTGTCAGTGCTGGTCTTTTCTTGAAGCCCTTAAACCCCTTCAACTCTAGTTTGGGTGTGTGTCACATTGATGACCGCTTCCCAGCACATGCATGCCCCACTCTGAACACTAAAGGTGCCCATACACTTTACAACCCTCGCAAGACTTTTGTCGTATGAGAATCGTGCAGTGTATGGGCACCTTAACTCTGATCTGGAGTGAAGAGATATGTCTTAATTACCACCAGTTTCCTTATCTGCACACTGGCGTTAATTATTTTTGAATTGGCCACAGTCATTGCAATATATTCTTAAAGAACTACCTTAGGCCTTGTTCACACTAGATGCAGTGCGTTCTGGCCCGATTCTGTCCAGAACGTGCTGCCTCGCATTGCGGCCGGTTCACTTTTTTGTCGGGCAGGAAGGGGCGTGGCAGGCCATTGAAGTGAAATGGCACCGTAGACGCGCTCTCTGGCCGCACGGGATCGCAAGGCACATTATGCCTTTTTTGTTTCATTTTTAGGGCATCAGTGTTTTAGATCACTCTAGATCACAGCCAACACTCTCATAGTGAGTCACTTGAACCTGAAAAATGAAGTGTAACATGTTATACACAGATATAATGCAAATGTCTTTCTCGCCCATTGAGGGACACAGGAAATCTTTAACCTTTTGACTTTTACTTCCGCCTACAGGAGTATTGGACATTGGCAAACAAAAACAAAAAAAAGCCCAGGATAACCCCCCTCACACTACCAACATGTCTTCAATTTTTGCTAGCTCTGTTGCGTGAGGGACCAACTTATTTAGACTAGCTCCCTCTCATAATTTCTTTAATTGGTACACTTTTCTACATCTCTGCCCGGTCTTGTCTCTTTGAATACAGCCCTCCAATGCGGCCGTCATCCAAGAGCATGCATCAGTACCAGTTGACTTTACCTTCTGATATTCGATTTGGCCAGTACGTCTAGCAGAGTTGCATTTTGCCTATATAACAGTGACTGTTGCCTTTAGTCCAACTTAACCACACTAGATGGCGGTCAGCTTCTGTATGAGCATGTATAGCAGATCATTTATATGGTTACTTCTCCAGTTCATTATTCACTCTCCACCATTAACATTTCACACAAGAACAGTGTAACACAAATGGCGCTCACTCACAAAAACATTGTTTTGTGTCAGAGGATCCTTTTTCAAGCAGGACTTGAATTTAAGAGCAGTGTAACACATATGGCACTCAATCTAAAAAATGCCACTTTTTGTGTCAGAGGACCTTTTGCTAAGCAGGAGTTAAATACAAGAACTAATTTTTTGATGATTGCAAGCTCCTTGTGCTGATGTTTTCTGTTTTGCTGGTGTGCTCTAAAAGTGGCAAGTGGGGTATAAGTCGCTGCACAGGGATAAGCATAGCAGGTGTGTAACTGTCCCTCTAGTCAAACGATCCCGCAAATTAGAAGCTCAAATTCTCATAACACTCAACTACATGCAAAAAACTAAGTCAACGCTATTATCCCACTGTCTTTACCAACTTGCTCCACCATGTCATCTCTAGTATATCTCTAGTTTCTCCTTATCATTTTTGGCTCTGCGAATAATTTAACTTTGCCTGTTGGCTGCTTATCTGTTCTCCAGAAGGATTTTGTCTGTAAAAGAAACCTGTACTGTGGAAGTGTGTAGGCCGCCATTGCTGATATTACTCACTTACTCCGCACATATGTTTCTTTTAATTTTTGTATACATATAGTGTGGGAGTACATCTGTTATTTGTGGTCTAAAGTTGCCCATAGTTGGCTAGCTCTCTCCATTTAAAAAGCATATGCTAAACACAGGCCTAGCAAGACTTTTTAGCCAGGTTGCAGAGTGCAAATGCTGCTTTCTGCAAACAGTAATAAGCACTTCCAATACCTGTGAATGTTGGTAATTGCTGGGGAGAGTGTCCAATACTATCTACATTTTGAGCAGATTGATATCCCTAACAAACACAGCAAAAAGCATGAATATTCTGTACATTTTTTTTCCCTCACATTATTTATACTCATTTGTGTTAGTAGAATTTATTGTACAATATGCTGCAAATTACTTCCTAATGAAATGATAAAATATTTGCACTGGTTCATGAAAAGTTGTATTCGAAATCTGTTGAACTCTTTTTTAAGTACATATATTATGCAATCTTATGCATGTTGAATTTACCCATCCTGTCTTATTTTCTTAGAAAAAATTGATGTTGATGCCCGTCTATCGGAACTATGTGAAGATGTTAAGGTATGTGTATACCAAGTCTTTCGTGTTTCCATGCCTGGAGAAGACCTTTTTTTATTGATGATTCATGTTTTTTTTGTTTTTTTGAGTAAAGTTTGAATTGGGAATGTGAATTTAAGGAGGAACTCCAGGAATCTAAAATGTAACCCTTGCACTGCAAGTATTAACTGCTTGTTTTGGTCTAGGACAGTGGTTCTCAACTGGTGGGTCACGCAACACTGTGTTCAGTGGGTCACCGCGTACCTTCCACTGCGCTAGGTGAGAGGCTCCTCAGCTTCTTCCTAGCGTAGCACTGTCAGTTCTCACATCGAGCAGCCATGCTGCCTGGTGCCGAGTGTCAGCTTGGGGTAGGGATTTTTGGCTTACGGCCACAAAGGAGCTCCATCCATACGTTCATTGCTTACAGCTCCCTCGCAATCCCTGTAGAGGTGCCTGGATCGGGGTGACGTCACATTCTGGTTCCCAGAACCTCTACAGGGTGTGCAAGGGAGTTATAGAAGTAATGCATATATGGATGGAGCTCTGTCCAGCACAGCAGCCCACGCTCGACCCCAGGCTGGGGATCCACTCCAGTTTTCGTAAGGTAGAGAGACTGGGTGGATCTTAACTCACTCTGTGAATGGTTGTGTGCCTCTGCCAGAGGGCCCCTTTGGACTAGTTCAGTGCGTTTTCTGGTGTGGATTGCCATTTATTTGAATGTCACCCCAAATGCACCTCCCGCCAACAGTTTGATCGAATGCACAGTAGTGCAATGCCTTGGGTTCCAGTGCGGTGTAACTTGGGTCGCGCCTAAATGACCAAGGATTAATGTTGGTCCTGAGGTTACACAGGTTGAGAATCACTGGTCTAGGGGCTCAAATAAAAGAAATATACTTATCTATTCCTCCATCTTGCCTGGCTGGTATATAGGCCAAAGCAGCCTCTTCAGGCTCTGGTGGTCTAAGCCCTGCTGACATCTTCACATCTAATGCAGTCCATTCACCTACATTAGACGTGAGGATGCCTACAGACATACCACAGCCAGGGTGGAGGGAGCGAGAGGTGAATGCCGACTGCCGCAGGACCAAGGATAGGATGAGTATATCATCTGTATTCCTGCCCCTAGAGAAAAATGAAGAGTTATCCCCTGTATTGTGGGAGTAGCCCCACTGCACGGTTAAATTTTTTAGGTTTTTGGAGTTCTTCCCTAAGGGTGGTTTACTTGATTTGTGGAACAAGGCAAATTTGTTATTCTGATATACTACCTCTGCTAAACTTTTACTATGAACAACTGTATTTCTGGCTTGCTTAATTTCATTCTTTCTTTCCCTAGAAAATAGATAATCCTGATGAACTAGCAGAGCTGATTAACATGAACCTTGCACAGCTTTGTTCTCTACTGATGGCACTTTGGGGACAATTTCTTGAAGTTATCATCTTGCAGGATGAAATTACAGTAATGGTAGCACAAGAACATCATATACTAAGAGTGAGTAAAAGTAAAAAGCTTAATGGATAGTAGCACAGGTTGTTTGGCCCACCTTTTTAATGAACACCGCAAGTTATTCAGCCCAGCATTTGAGTGTCTAGCTCACTGATGGTCCTAGCCTTTCGTGGCTTTCCATTTCCACCGACTTACCTAGGGCTGCAACTTTATCAATGGCTTGTCTGACCACCATGATGCTTTATACATACAATAGGAGCTCAGTACACCTAGCCATGTAAATAGCACAATAGAAGTCCTGCTGTTGCTTGTAAAATGTTCTGCTGTAAGAAGGGAGTGATCATATAGGAATTGATCGTACAGAGATGGGGCTTTTCCACTTAAACTGCCAATCCACTTTGATCTTGTTATTCAAATAGGTTGTATTTCTATATTCTAATATCCTTTATTAGAAAGCAGCATAATCTTAAATGTATATTGTTAGTGCTAATGTGAGGCGCAGCAAGGGTTTACCCCATTTTAACAATAGTACATATGGTCACTCTCAAGTGACCAAGTCGAAAGTGACTATTAGTTTAGTAAGAAAAAGGTTTAAATTTATTTATTTTACTTCTCCGTGAAAAAGAGAAGAATGTGATTCATACTAGTATCCAAAGCTCTTATTGTTCATTATACTAATAATGTTTATGGAAGTAATAGCGATCCTAGTGTTCGTGATCTAGGTTTATACTGTGCAGAGCTTCAGTTTTTGCCTGTTGTATTTTTAGGTACGTAGATTTGCAGAAGCGTTCTTTTGCCTCGAGCATCCTAGACAAGCAGCCCTGGCATACCAAGAATTGCAGTAAGCATGAAAACCTGCATGAGATAACTTGAAAACCATTCTTCTTTAGCATACCAACTTTAACTTGTATATATGAATGTACAAAAGTTGTCTGATTGTAAAAAGATGTCCAGCATTTTTCAAAGGAGTGCTATTTTATTTCATACATATATGAAATTGCATCTGTGCATGGCAGTGTTTTTAATCCATTCTCCATTAACTAATTAGTGACTGTTTTTAACCACCCCCTCCCAAATATATCCTCCTCCTCCTGGCATCATCAACAAACCCTTATAAGTTTTGAATAAAGTGGAGAAGGGTTAGGCATTAGGTAAAACATTTTTGTTACCTGTGTCCCTACTTGGTAGATTAACCCCCCTATGTATTTGTGCTGGTGGTCACTGTCCCTGAGTCAGAAAGTGAGGGGAAATCCACATTTTTTAAATGATTACCTGGAAAGGGTAGAGTAGGGCTTCTAATGTGGATTTTTGGGCGATCTCATTCCACTCTTGGACAGAATTGAAAGAATATCTTCCCAGCACATGCGCGCACACACACACACAGCAGAAAAGAACCTGATAGGGGTTTTAACCAGGGATGCACCGTAATTTTGGGCAAAATGTCCAAAGTACCATTTTTCGGCCAAAATTGCGGTGCATCCATAGTTTCTCTCCTCCCCACTGGGCGCTGCTCTATGTCCCCTCTCCACACTGAGCAGCGTCCAGTGGGTAGGAGAGGTCAAGCTCTCCTCCCGCACTGGCCTGCTCGGCCTCCTGTGACGGGCAGGGATTCATGATGGAGAGCGGGGAGGAGACCGCTGTCACAGGAGGCCGAGCCCTGCTGTGCGGGAGAGGAGTCGGCTGTCAGCGTTGTCACAGCAGGCTGGGCTCTCCTGCCCGCTCCGCCTTGTGTGACAGCAGAAGGAGTCAGGATGGAGACCGCTTACAAGCATTTGTAAATAATTGAGGACATAGTATTTTTACTGTATCCCTAATTATGAATGAATAGAAAGTGCTCTAGATCACTTCCTGTTCATTCATGATTGTGAACATAGTAACTTGCACTATATCCACAGTCTATGAATGAACAGGAACACTCCGTATAGTAGATTCCTGTGTGTGACAGGGGCGGCAGAAAAAGAAATTTAGGACTCTGTGTCCTCAATCTCTTTTTCTATTTCAAAAGGGAAATATTCAGGGGTCTGTTTAGACCCCTGATATTTTCCCAGAGCCCCCAACAGTAAAGTAAAAAAATAAATAAAAAAATATAATAAAACAAATTTCTTAAAAGGTAAAAAAAATAAAATAATTTTGGTTTCGGCCTGACAAATATTTGTGTGTGTGGTTTTGGTGTGAAATTGCTGTGCACCTCTAGTTTTAACCCTTTCTTACTCTATCCAAAAGTAAAAAAGTTTTACTTACAATTCCTACAAGTAAAGAAGGATATGTTTCTAAACCTAGGGGTGTGTTTGTGGAGGGCCTAATAGAATGCATTTGTCCTTCCTCCTGTATATGGGTGTTTTTCTGCATTTACACAAGTTTGTTTTTATTTGCCTTTTTATGCATTTTGCAAAAGGTTGAAACATATAGAATAGGAACTCTTTATTTTGTAGATGTATTAAAGTGGAACTAATATGGACCCCCAGAGTTCTCTTCATAAGTATGTACAGCATATTTACACATTGTGGCACACTTACCTCCTAAAGAAACCTCCTCCACTGATGCAATGTCTGTGCCTCCCATCATCACTCTGCCGCTGCCAATTTCTCACAGTTGTCTTCCGAGTATGAAGTCTTTAGCTGTCTTGATTGGCTGGCAGGGGGATGATTTAACTGTCACACATGCAAACAGGACTTCCTTTGTCCCAGCTCTTTCACACACCATGCCAAATTGGGCATTTCAGCAAAACTTCCAAGCAGGCAGGGAATAAACTTTTTTATCAGAGGAAATGGGCTTGTTTAGCTCGTCTAAATACAGCCATGCAATATATCCTGTATTTTGTCTTTTAAAGCAGTAAACTGCAGCACATAATACTGTATGTGAATTAGCCACATTGGAATGAATGAGAATTATAGTTGAAATTATTTTTAATGCATACAAAAGACAGACAAGAGAGAATGGGGCTCTACTTTGTTCCAGAGCTGCTCCTACATGATAGTTAAATCAGGTTTCACACTACATGCTACACTTGGTTGAAACCAAAGTTAGGAGGTTTCATATTGCCCTGTTGTGCTTATTGCTGTTGCTTATAAGTTAAACTTAAGGGGTTCTATTCCTCTCAACCTGGGCTCCAAATTGAAAATATCATAGTGTGTAACAAGGTATGGAGGTCAGTGGGGCATTTTATAATTTTTCGTTTTTAGTGACCAACTTATAGTGGGGCACATGATGTGTAAGGTTGGGTATTTGTTCCCATATTAGTATCAGTGTAAGCACCCCTCTTCAGTAATAATTTTGTAGACTTCTAATATATCAAATATCATCTTTTTTTTTTTTAACTAATGTTTTTGGTCTCCACAGTGCCCAGAGCCATCTTCAGATGTCAACAGCAATTAAGAATTCATCCTACTTCAGTTCCCTTCCTCCTCTCCCTCTAGAGTGCAGTGAACTGGATGGGGACTTTAACTCGCTACCTATTATTTTTGAAGATAGGTATTTAGATTACATTATGGAAGGTAAGTACAGATTAAATGTGTACACAAGTAGATTATACTCCTGAAGTCTTTTTTTCTAAAATGTCTACTTTTTTTTTGTATCCCTTCTATCCTTTTTATATATGATGAGAGCACCACCTTAGCCTCTTTTTAGAACTGCAGTTGCCATGCACTGCACATGCAATGAGTTATGACATCAGGTGTTTTTGAGGGCTTGAAAGTTCAGCTAAACCTTGTATGTACTCTTTTTGAGGAACCGTAGAAATTATTGGGTTTAGTTCCACTTTAATTTCTTTTATACTGTTATGTCAGTTGGACTGGACTAAGGTTTTTTTTTCTGTTTAGGTTTTATTTGTGCAAAGAACAGTCTTGTTAAATATATGTATTTGACATTGCAGATTTGGATGGACCTTGGCTGGGAGTTCAGCACTTGCAACGATCAGATTCTAGCAAACCTGAGAAATTTGACGAGGAGGGATATGTTTGTGCTCCTGGAAGCCCAGAACTAAAAGTCAGAGCTGAAGGTGTCTCTGCTTCATCTTGGTGTGCTGAAAGTGAAAAGCCTTTTACAAAGATGAAAAAAAATGATGACGATAAATCAAAAACAAAAGGAAATAAACTTATGAAGACCATGAAAACTGATAATCCAAAAAAAATGGTAAAGCAGAATTCTAAGGATTCTGTGGTTTTAGTAAGCTACAAATGTTTAAAAGCTGCTACAGCAGAGGCTATGTCTAAATCATTTGAAGGCAGGCCTTCACATTGCCACAAAGATGGACATAACCTTCATCCAGGTTTTTCAGCAAGTGAGACAAAGTCATCTGGATTGCAAGCTTGGCAAAAACGACACAACTCTCTCCCATCTACTACAGTGACAACCAAGCCACCGTCTACAAGTAGTGAAAGTATTCACAGAAGCCACGGCAGCGCTTGGGATTCTTGCAATTTAGCATCTTTTTCCACTTCCGCCAATTCAGGTACACTTGGCACACAACAAGCAGGTACTGGATTTACATATGTGGATAATATTTTAGCAGGGGTAGAAAAATGCCACTCTGGCCACCCCACTGTACCCTCTGGTTTGAGGACAATAGAGGTTAAGCCAAGTAACAAAAACTCATATGAAGGGGAAAAAGTAACTGTTATTTTTAGCTCCAAGTCAGAGGGTGCTAAAAATATGGCATTTAAGGACAGCATACAGGAGCAAGACTTTGCTGCGTCGCCCGGGCCAGTAACCCCATCACTGGAGCCAGATTCTGTATTTGATAAAGAAGTTGTACAGGAAACTAATCTAAAACTGTCTGGAAATGAAGATCCTCTTACCAGGCCTAAAAACAACCAAGTACATAGTGGCAGTAAAGAGGTCCACATTATAGTAAGTGGAGACACAATAAAGCTGCCTGATCTCAGCATCACCTGTGCATCTTCAAGATTTTCTGATTCTGGTGTGGAAAGTGAACCCAGCTCTTTTGCAACCCATCCAAATCCAGAACTCTTGGAAAATGTGACTGAGCATGATCCTGTGTCAAATGACAAGGTATTTGCACCTCTTTTGCTGAAACCAGAATCTAACGTAAAAGCCACCATTGAAAGCCACTGCACAGAAAGCACAAGTGCTCTGAGTGAAATCCAGTCTTCTTTGACATCCATAAACTCTTTACCATCTGATGATGATGAACTTTCCCCTGATGAAAGTTCCAGGATTTCTGTTGTGCCCGAGAGCCAGATGAGAGACAGCAAAACTGTTCTTGACTTGGGTACAGTTGAATTGCCAAAGTTTGATTCCCTTAAATCTAACGTTCTCTTACAGCCTCAAAGTGTTGTGTTTTCTGACACAGACAATGTCCCTGTTCATTCCTCTCTTTCAAATATCAGAGAACTTTTTCAATTTGCTATTTCCGATGAGGAAACTCCAAATGAAGTTAAGAGTATTCCTGTACCCCCTACTGGCTCCATAACCACTTTTAGAGAACTCCCAATCCTAGAAACCCCTTATGACACCCAAATTGCACTCGAATCTGAAGTTATTAATGTGGGAGAGCAGTCAGTGGTATCTGGTTCTGTTGTTCTGGATGAGGACATTTTGTTGCAAACTGTCAAAGAGAAATATAGTGATGAGAAACCAAAACTATCAAACCAAGACATGTCTAAAGCTGGGAGTACAGGTCCTCCTGCTGCTATAATTTCTTCCAGTAACAGCACTGACATTGTCAAACAGGGTTTAGTAGAAAATTATTTTGGCTCTCAAAGTAGCACTGATATTTCTGACATTAGCCCTGCAGAGGATTTTAAGTATGTCAGTCCTGCCAAGGAAACGGTAAAGTTACAGCCAGTCTGCCCATTGCTGCAAGAGGATGAGGATGATGATGATGAGGAGGAACAAGATGAAGAAATTATTGAGAATGGCTACTATGAAGAAACAGATGGCCCATTATACAAATCTGAGGATCCTGAATGTGAAGTTATCCATGATTCTGCACATGATAACTGTTTGAGGTCTGAGAGGATTGGCTCTGAATACTTAAAAGATTCACTGAACATGCCTGGTGTTTGTTCAACCAGTTGTCTATCTTTTTCATATATTTTAAAAGACTCCCCTTGCGGAACTGTTTTTATGTCAAGGAATACACTTGACACTATAACAAAGCAACCGGGTGGGGCAATGCTTGGATCATGCTCCTCATCTATTGCTTGGTATGAAAGCTCTCCAAAGCCTTTAATGCTAGCGTGAGTTTCATTTCATTTATCTAAATATTTTTTAGTTACACAATGCAAGGATTAAACACTGGCATACTACATTTCAAAAAGAAATTAAATGACTGCCAAAACATAAGCTTACAATGGGGGCAAACTGATTATTTTAAGTAAACCTGTATTGATAAAAACAGAATAAACCAGCCACCCAAAGCCCCCTTTAATCTATTTTCTCCCCCCAAACTCTCTATGCAAATGCTCACTTATAAAAAGTCAAAGCATAGGCACGCCCCTACTACGTTGTACCGAGTTTCGGTTATTGCTTCATGGAATACATTGAGGATGTGACGATGCTTTGGCTTCAGGGTGCTCCTGAGGGAAGATCTGTAACGAAAGGCATGTACTGGTACTTTATGGTTCCAGCATTTCAACTGAAGAGCTTAGGTATACCATCATTTTTTTCATCACTACAGGTTTACTTTAGGGGTCAATGCACCTAAAACTAACATTTCAGTTCTGGGTAAAAACTGGTAAGTTGGATTTGACTTTTATCGCCATCCACCTGCCGTTAATGTGGACCTTTACCCCCTCTCACTAAAAATCACATCAGCATACAGCTCTGCATGCTGATTTAAAATCATCTTACATTCATGAGTTAAACAAACTTGACCACTTCTGGCACAAATGATGTAATGTGCCAAAGTGTTGCATCATGGGAAGATTACATCAGCAGAACATTGCTGGGAAATCTCATCTGTAAAATCTCAGGGAAAGACATTTTCTTCCCGTGAGATGATGTGCATGGTCACATCTCCTAGTCACCTGTGCCAGTTCCAGGAAGTAAAGGGAGAGCTAGTAATCTGCCCCTAGTAAACATGCCCACTGTCAGGAGACTGGGAAAGAAAAGCAAAATAAGGTTATCTAGAAGTATGTGTTTGTAGATTGTCATTACTAAACATTTCTAAAGGTGTGTTTGTTGTTATTTTAAAGATATGGGTAAAGTTTCTCTTTTAAGAGGTCTTGTTGCATTTTGTAATTTATTTTACATCATGGAAATGCACCGTATTTTTTGCTCCATAAGATGCACTTTTTTCCCCCCAAAAGGAGGGGGGAAATGTGCCTGCATCTTATGGAGCGAATACCTATCGCCCGACGCCCGGGAAATGCAGTTTTGGGCGCCGGGCAAGTAATTTCTTTTTGTACATTCAGCCCTGCTCCTGACAAGCAGAGCTGAATGTACAGTGGGAGCCGCTGCTCGTTTATTACAAGGTGTTCTAATTAGATCACTTGTATGAAATTGAGCGGCGGCGATCGCGCCGTCGTTCTTCGTCTGCTCTGTGTGATTACTGAGACAGCGCCACCTGTCTCAGCGGTCACTAACTGCAGCTTCTGTGACAAAAGCCCTGCGTCCTATCGTCCAGAGTGTCTTATAGACCGCAAAATACGGCACTCAAATTGAACTTTTACAGCCTAGATTTATTTCGCCACAGAAGATTTTTGGTATGAAAGTAATAGTAGTGCTAAGATTAAGAGTGAGTTTTATGGTCAGGAGGTTTGGAATGAGGGTTATAGTTCGATTTACAGTTTTAAGTGTTGGGGGTTGGTGTTAGTGTTTAGCTTCAGGGTAGATTTCTTAGTTGTAGGTTATTGGATACCATATCCAATATGTGAATTGATGCTAAATACATATTACAAAGAGATGTATTAATGTACAATGTATTGACTAATGATTCCACACAATGTACTGTGTGCAGTCTGACTGCAAGATACTAAGATATAGAGCTGAGATTTGTATCAGGGAGCTCATGCGTGAACTATGTTTATGTTAACTTCCAATTCTTAGTTTGGAAAAATTGCACCTTGCCTCTACATTTATCCCTATTTCTAATATATTTTATTTCTATGTTTTTGTAGGTTCCTTCAGGCCAAAGAAGAATTAAAGCAATTAAAACTTCCTGGATTTTTGTATAGCGATGTGACTCAGTTGGCTTCCACAGCTCCATACTTCAGTGTGGAGGATGACGACAGTTCTGATGAGGGAATCCATTTGATTGTGTGTGTACATGGGCTGGATGGTAAATATTACACAATGTCAATGATGTGTATAACTAATGTGAAAAAAGAATGAAGAGATAAATACTGAATGTTAGTTACTGGTTTCTAAAGAGAAATGTTTCAGGATTTCTTTTTTAGAGGCAATTCTGAAGTAAGCATGAGGGATAATATGTTTATTGTTTACTTAAATAGCACCAACATCATTGTACTGAATTATGGTGCGACTGTCCAGTCTGTTTCCCTGTGATTTAACGGCCTGGGGATACTATTTGGGGAAGATCAAGTATTGTAGGAATAACAAGCACTTTTGACTGTCTAAAACATCTATTGTTATTTCAGGCAAATTAGCAGACTGAGAAGATAGAAAAGGACATATTCAGTTATATCTAGACTAGCTTTAAATAAGCAGAGTGCATGCAAGATGACATATCTGCAACAGTTTGGAATAAGAGATAAGTAGGAGGTATTGTGATATTAAAGATACATTTTTGTATCATCTGAACATAAGTTGTATAGAATTTCAATGATGACCCCCTCCTCCCCCATCTCTCCACTAAGCATCCAAGAGCTTATGCCAGCCTCCTTCTATAGGAAATCCATAGCTATTACTAGCGTTACCTAGCTTAGGGAAAAATACTTCCTTTTTCCTTTTTTTTAAAGGCATTACCCTTTAAAAAAAAAAGAAACAAATGGCAATAGAAGCCTGTAATTTTTATATGTATATAAAAGATGCATGCTCATGTCTTGATACAGAGGAAAACCATTAAATGATAGCTGTACAGTTTTAGTCCAGTTATCCTTAAGAGTTTGTCCCCTGCCAATGTCCATGATTCACATCACATCTTTGCTGTGGGGCAGCTGGGAGCTGCATAGCCACTCCATGGACAGTATTCCACTGTGGCACGAATGCTAAATAGATTGCACATTTATTTCTATGGAAAGGTTGTTGGTGCCATCAATCGTCAGCTTTCGTTTAGGAATGGACAGGGAATTTAACATGCATGCAAGGCCGGGACTGGATACTTACTGTGGAGAGTCTGTGCAGCTCCAAGTGGCCCAGGTAAGTGGAAAACCTGGGGGTGGGGGAACAACCAGGGCTGGATTAACATAGGGGCTCCAGGCCCAAAACTGAAAATAGGCCCGGCCAGCCCAGATCGCCTCGGCATGCTGAATACAATCAGTCAGAGGTGCCGGTGCTCTATAATTTTTTTTGGACCACGTCACTTCTAGTGGTGCGGTCTTAGCTGTTGGAGGCATGCTTGGCTCAATGCGCAGTCAGATGACACAGCTGCACTGGAATTGGCATGGTTGAGAAAAGTTACAGCACATGGGAGCACGAGTTGAGCCTAGCACACCTCCAACAGCTCCGACGCGTCACCAGAAGTGATGGAGTCGAGAATTTTTATGAGGTCTCTAATTAGGCATATTGGGGGGCCCAGCGAGGAGCGAGCGGCCGCCTAATTACAGTGTTTCCCCGAAAATAAGACAGTGTCTTATATTTTTTTTTCCACGAAAAAAGACACTAGGTCTTATTTTCGGACCAGGCCCACAATGCTCTTAATCTGGCCCTGAGAAAAACCTTTTATGGATAACTATACTAAAAGGGAAATTAATTTAGATGAATTACATTTCGTTTCCTAGTTGGTGAAAGGCTTTTGGTAAACAGGTGTAACTTGCATATTCGTAGTGCATGAAATGTATGCTTTAGTAGCCAGGCAAAAGGTACCTAATCTGTAAAAAGCCTAGAGGTCTCTGTTGCATGTATTTGGAGGTTTCTCTGTCACTCACCAAAAAGGAATTGCACCTCATAGGGAGGGCTAGGATCAGACCTGATAGTTCGATATTAAAGTCTACCTAGAGAAAGTGTTAGACAGATCATCAATTTATAATGAACAAACGGCACCCAGTTTTACTTTTATTGCTCTGCAAGCATTGTTCCAACCTTTTATTTGTTTACTGTTTCCCGGGCTTGATCTGTTTTTCAAATTTTTTTAAAAAGAAATTCACACTGTCTTATAGGTAATGGGTAGCAAACTTTTTTTTAACCTTTTTATTTTTACCATCTTTTATTGTGTAGGTAATAGCGCTGACCTCCGCTTAGTGAGAACCTACATAGAACTTGGACTACCTGGAGGGCGAAAAGACTTCCTTATGTCAGAAAGGAATCAGGTGTGAAACAAACATACATTTGCACTAAACCATTAAGAGGGAATAAGAGGTTGCAATTTCTTAGGTTTCAGGTGTAACATGAATTGTTTGCTAGTATCAGACATGCAAATAATATTGAACGGAACTCAAGGCTTCCCTATTATTCTTATAAGATGCAGAGCAATGTTTTAGCACAAACTTTTAACCTAAAAAAGCATGTTACCAACCAAGAATTGCTGTTCTCAATCACCCCGTACATTTTGTTTGTTGGCCTTATATTGAATGTTATGTTGCAACCTTTTCATAAAAGTATAACTGAAATGTGTAAGCAGAGACTGACGAGCAGTTATATAGTGTTTTATATAATGCAAAACAAAATGCAGAATTACTATAATTGCCCAATAATCCCACTTACATGAATCATTGAAAATCAGAATAATATCTTCTGAATTTCTTCCCCAGAATGATACATTTGCTGACTTTGATTCAATGACAGATCGTCTTCTAGATGAAATTATACAGTATATTCAGATCTACAATCTGGCTATTTCAAGGATCAGGTAAGAGTCATGTCATTGTGGATTGGTTAACATAATACTTGTAACATAATGTTAAATATAGATTGAAATGTGCATCTTCTCAAAATGGTTTGTAAATGCTTTTTTAAGTTTAGCTGTACTTTGAAAATATTACCTCTTTTAATATATCCTGGGATCTTAGGCAATTTCTCACACATAGCCTGTTACCTCTGCTTTTGCTCTTTGTGAGCTTTCCTCCCAGGCATAGGGCAGAGTAAATATTATATAAAAGGAAAGCATCTGCTGCACATACATGTTTAGTTGTATGACTTCATGGTGGGGAATCCTAAATCATTATTTTCTTGCTGTAGTTAATTTATTATATTAACCTCCTGAAATCTTCTGTACAGATGCACTAAAAATGGGAGAGAGGAGCCAAATGGGCTCAGATACAGTACATAAATGCTGACAGGAGAAGAGAGCATAGTGAACAGTGATGACTCACCGTTATGCTTCTGTTATTTCATTTTCCAGCCAGAAGGTTCTTGACCAAACTGCTACTGCAGTTGAGGTCAAAGATCTGGCTATGCTTTTTAGCAGGGATGCCTGTATCACAGGATACACGGAACAGTGTGTGTGTATATGTATATATTATATTTATATTTATATTTTTTGTATATGTAATATTTTAATAATTTAATGTCCTGTCTGAAGATCAGCGTTAGTTTGATTTGCTTGTCACTATTCAATGTAGTGTTACAATATGTTTGTTATGTGAACTGTCAAAGTGTAAGTTTAGCTGTATTCCACTGGCAACATATACATTTAACATGCTTTTTCTTTTAGCTTTATAGGACACTCATTGGGGAATTTAATTATACGATCAGTTCTTTCACGGCCAAGGTTTAAATGTTATCTTGGCAAGTTGCACACTTTCCTTTCTTTATCTGGTCCACATTTGGGTACACTCTACAACAGCAGTGCTCTTGTCAATACAGGTGAGAAGAAAAAGTTTTGTGTGCACAAAAAGTGCCTGTTCCTTTCTCTTGTAGTGCTATGGAAAATAAAAGAAATAGGAATGTCACATCAGAGTCCTTTTTAAATTGGCCAGCATTATGTGAAGCCAGTACTTTACTGAAGGCTCTTATTTATATATTCCACGGTGATTCTAGCTAGGTTGGTATTATTCATATGGCTATTGGCACCAGTAGACCTCCACTGATACCCCTAGAGCAGGGGTGATCGCGTAGCGATCACTGTAGATCGCGATGTCCTCTCCTCCCGCCCGTGGGGCTTTTCTGGATCCTTGCTGCTCTCCCCATCTGTATGCAGCGGGGATCCGAGAAGAAGTGAAGGAACCGCTGCAGCCGGTGGAGGAGGGAGCAGTTGTTACAGAACTAAGGCCGAGTGGTGAGGAGAGAGAGAGACGCTCAGTCAGGATCTGACAGCCGGCGCCTCTCTCTCTCCTCACCGCTCGGCTTTAAGTGCCCCCTGCGGCTTAAGTGCTTCTTTCACTTCTCGTCGGATCCCCCCTGCTCTTCTCGGGAGAGCAGGGGGGATCCAGAGGTGAAGCTGAGCCCCCCTGTGTGTGGCCGATCACACCAGTGTCTGTGCAGGACAAACACTGGAGCGATCAGCTGATCACACCAGTGTTTGTAAATAACTGGGGACACATAGTACTACGTCAAGCAAAACAAATGACAAACGCACTCAACAATTTCTCACCAGCTATACAGTAAGGTGCACACGAAATGGGCTTTGAACAGTAAAACAGTAGAAAGGCATCATGGCACACTCACAAACCAGCATGTAAAACAACTTGTCTCACCACTAAGGCTAATAACAGAGGTTTGGATACACGTCTTCTGCAGAAAATGTGACAGCCGCGCCAAGGCACCTCTTATAGTGCGGTCCTAACTCTAAACTATGAGAGTCTCCATCTTGGAGCACATGGGGGCAGAAGATTTCAAATTGGGTGCTCCAAGATGGAGACTCTCATAGTTTAGAGTTAGGACCGCACTATAAGAGGTGCCTTGGCGCGGCTGTGCGGCTTTCACATTTTCTGCAGAAGACGTGTATCCAAACCTCTGTTATTAACCTTAGTGGTGAGACAAGTTGTTTTACATGCTGGTTTGTGAGTGTGCCATGAT